GAGATGCAGGGGCCTCAGCCACCTTCCCGATGCAGTGCTCAGCATTACGTAAGAATGGTTTTGTGGTGCTCAAAGGCCGGCCATGTAAGATCGTCGAGATGTCTACTTCGAAGACTGGCAAGCACGGCCACGCCAAGGTCAGAATTTCACCTCCACATCTTGCCTTTCCCATGCCTGCAGTATCCTTGGGACTCCTGGCAGCAAGCTGACATCAGTCAGTCCTGGCCTTCTACCTTCCTTAAGCTCTGCTCTTACTGTCTGGTGCTCCTTTTGTTCAGCACTGGATCCTTATACTCATTGAGACTGCTACACCTCCTCCCCAGTCTTGAGCTTCTTCTGTGGTTACCCTTCTGTCCCCCCACCATTTTCTGGTAGTCCCTCCATTTCTTCATCTTTGTGTCAAACTCTTTAATTTCTCTTCTTGGGCCTTTATGTTTAAGCTATTCAGCTGCTTCTTTCTTATTCCTGGCTTTCACTTTCTGTTTAATTTTCTTCCCTTGAGCCTTTTTAGGTAGTGTTTGTTTTGCCAGCCCTAACACAGAATATAGCCTTCTTACCTCTGAGCTTGTAAATCACCTTGTTACCTTTTCCCCCAGTTCTAGTTTTCCCTTTGGAACTCTGATGCAGTATCAAACTACTTTTACCTGCCCAGCTTACTCTCCTTGGGTTCCTCTTGCTTTCTTGGGTCTTAACTTTCTGACTGTTGCTTTCTGTCACTTCAGTCTTTTCCTCTTTGTCTTTAAAATTTCAACTTGGTTTACTCTTGTGGTTTTGTTTCCTAATCATTTTTTCTATCTTCTGTTGATTTGACATTGATCTTGGGTTATTCTCTAATTTTTAGATCCTCCTTTATGCTTTTCTGGCCTATTTCCTAACTGCATAGTTCTTTCTGAGCTCCCAAGTCCTTTTCTCTTCTCAGTTCTCTTCCTGTCACATCTTTCTCAGTCTTTTCCTGCCCACCTGCCTTATTTCCCAAGTTCTCAACTTCTTACCTGATGTCCAGAAAATTCTTCCAAACTTTCACCTAGACTCTTCTCACTCCCCTGGGCTCTTAGCATCTTGTTTGTCAATATTTCTTTGACAAGGTAACTGTCTTCTCCAAGCCTGCCCAACAGTTTTCCTTTGTGCTGTCAACCCTAATCTCAATGGTGGTCTTTCATTTCAGGATTTTTTTTTTAAAGAGGCTTTTGTGTTTCTTTTCTGGGTTGATTGATTCAATTCCAACTCTCCTAATCATTGCCTCAACAATGTAGTCTGACTTCCCTCACTTGTCAAGGACAACTTGAGCTTTTTTCTCCTCCATCCTAGAGTTTGGTTGGGTTTCTCTTTGTGATGCATACATGCAGGTCCACCTGGTTGGTATTGACATCTTTACTGGGAAGAAATATGAAGATATCTGCCCGTCAACTCATAATATGGATGTCCCCAACATCAAAAGGAATGACTTCCAGGTATGTAGATGGTCTGGATGAAGATGGGTTAGTGGTTTATGGGGGGAAGGTATGAACTGACCAGAAGAGCTTGTGCTGGGAGAGAAGAGGGAAATGGCAGGAGAGGGTACTTGGTATTAGTAGTTTGCTGTCACCCCAGTTTGTCTATCAGAACCTTTACCCTCAACCTACCTGGGCCTACCTTTAGCTTCCTTCCCTATCTGCCCTCA